CCCCGACCCAGGAGCGCCCCGGCCGCCCCCAGACCCGGGTCCCCTCCCACTTCCGGGGACCCGGGAGAAGCCAACCTTCGTAGTTCAAGTGAGCACCGAGCAGCTGCTGATGTCCCTGCGGGAGGACGTGACAAGGAACCTCCTGGGGCAGAAGGCGACAACCCCCCGAGAGATGGGGCTCAGGAAGGCAGGGAGAAGCCCCGGGAACAGAGAGAAAGCCCCGGGCCCGAGCAGGGACCCCACAGTCCTGGGCAGCGGGAAGAAAGCCTCAAGCCTGAACGAGGACATGAGCCTCCCCGTGAACGGGGTGACAGTGTTGGAGAACGGGGGACAGACAGCCCCAGGCATCGAGGAGAAGGTGGCAGAGAATGGGGGCCCGGGGTTCCCGGAGAGAGAAGAGAAAGTGCTGGAGAATGGGGAGCTGACCCCCCCAAGGAAGGAGGAGACAGTGTTGGAGAATGGGGAGCTGAGGTCCCCAGAGAGAGAAGAGACAGTGCTGGAGAATGGGGGATTGATACCCCCAAAGACGGAGGAGACGGTGTCAGAGAATGGGGGCCCGAGACACTCCAGGAACACAGAGAGGCTGCCAGAGACTGGGCCTTGGAGAGCCCCAGGGCCCTGGGAGAAGATGCCCGAGAGTGGGGGTCCAGCCCCCACGATAGGGGAGCCAGCCCCAGAGACCTTGCTGGAGAGAGCCCTCACAGCCGGCGCAGTGGCCTTGCCCCAGAACGGCGGGGAGACAGCCCCTGGCCCCACTGGCCAAGTCCCCAGGAGCGGGGGGCTGGAACTGGGGACCAAGAGGAGAGTCCCCGAGATTGGGGGGGCACTGAGAGCCCCCGGGGCTGGGAGGCTGGACCTCGGGAGTGGGGGCCGAGCCCCAGTGGGCATGGGGATGGCCCCCGGCGGCGGCCTCGGAAGCGGCGTGGACGCAAAGGCAGGATGGGCAGACAGCACGAGGCCACAGCCGCCGCCACCTCTGCCACCCCCGGAAGCGCAGCCGAGGAGGCCGGAGCCAGTGCCCCAGAGAGCCAGGCCGGAGGTGGCCCCCGAGGGCGAGTCCGGGGTCCCAGACAGCAGGGCCGGCGGAGACCCGGCACCCAGCGGAGACGGGGACCCCCCCAAACCCGAGAGGAAGGGCCCCGAGATGCCACGACTATTCTTGGACTTGGGACCTCCTCAGGGGAACAGCGAGCAGATCAAAGGTGAGGAGGCTGCTGGGAGCGTGGGAGCGAGGTCGGGGGGCCCAGGAGCACAGTTGAGAATCTCAGGCTCTTGGATAGCGGACAGGTCAGGCTGGTGGTGACAAGTGCATAAGCTGGAGCAGCACTGCCTGGGCCCAGATCCCTAGCTCTGTGACCTTGGACAAATGACCTTACTTCTCTGTGCCTCGGTTTTCCCATCTGCTAAACATGGATGGTAAGAATAGCACCTGCCTAATAGGGTTGTTGTGAGGGTCAAATGAGTTCAGACTTTCAGTGACTGGCGCTCTTCAGCACCTGCTTTTGTTATTGCGATTCATAGACCAGGGTCTCAAATTTAGATCCCCATGGGGGGTGGGGGAGTGGGGGGGTAGACAGTAATAAGGGATGAATGAGGTCAGCTGGGAGAGGCGGGGTGGGAGTTGGGGAGGAAATGCAGCCACTTGTCAGCTCCATTCAGGAATGTTCCCTTGGGGTTGCCAAATCTGCTGCTTTTCCCCTTTAAGCCAGAGCTCTTGGTGTTTTAAAGGCTGAAACCAATTCAAACGGAGCTTATCTGTGGGCTGGGCTGCCAACATGTGATCTCTGGTTTCCATTTTCCAACAAGCTGAGGCATCTGTGGAGTGTGCCAGGCCCTGAGCTGCCCAAGGCTGGGACCCAGGGAGTCTCAGGCCCTGCCCCCATAGTATTGGTGACCTGAAAGCTTTAGAAATGCCTTTTCTGGGAACTGAATTTGGATAGGAACCTAGGAAGTGTTTTGTTACAGAGGGGGCGAGTTAAGAGAAGGTAAATGAAGAGTAAAGATAAATTGAGTTAGAAAAGAAAGTTCCTGGCAGAAGGAACAGTCTATGCAAAGGCTCAGAGGGGGGAGGAATGGGGAGGTGGTCCATGTCATTGGATGGAAGTCAAGCCCCTATTTGATGTAGGGACTGTGGTTCCACTGGAATCACCTGCAGGCCTGATTTCCTTAAATACTGGTTTGAAAGTTGTGACAGGGCTCTTTCATACTGACAAACTCACAACCACACTTGAGTGAAGGGTTACATCGTGTCTACCAGGGGAGCCTGTGGCTCAGGAGGGAAAGGTCAGGAAGAGGTATGGGCAGAGAATATTCCTTCCTCAAATCCCATTTTATTAGAACACTACCACTTCCTTGAGGCTATTGTGGGGAGTTTGCAACCAGCTGTCAGGAAAGACCCAAGGCAGCATGAAAATGTCAGGGGATGAGCAGCTAAGATACCTCAGGATCTGAGGTGGGGTTGGGGTGGAGGTGGGTTTGATGTTGCTGGGTGAGAAGAGGCTGGGAATAGCCTGCTTTTTTTAAAAAGGAAAAAAAAAAAAAAAAAAGGGAAAAAAAAAAAAAAAAAAAAAAAAAANCCCCTGTCCACTTATCACTGAGGAAACAGAGGCTCAGAGAGGTGGATCTCCTTGCCCAGGGATTCGAAGCCAGGTTTCCTTCTCCAGGGACCTGATCTCATCCAGGGCCTAGAGATGGTTAGATACCCCAGTTTTGTCTGGTGATTGAGGATCAGAGAGGGAAAGTACCTTGGTCAACATCACATAGCAGCGATTAATTTATTCATTAATCCCACAAACACTATTATGTGCTTGGGGCTTGAGGTTGCAGCCAGAATGAACTGGGCTCAGTCTCTGTTCTGTGGAAAGGCCAACATTAATCACATCGCCACAGAAATACAGTTATATACTGAGATAATCTGCTCGGAAGGAGAGGTGCTTGACGCTGTGGGGTGCAGAGGTGGTGTTCTGGCCTGGTGAACTCCTACTCATCCTTCAAGACCCCATTCAAATTTCTCCTGCCCTGGGAAGTCGTCTTGACTTCTAAAGGCTGTCATCCTGTCCTTCCTCTGGGTATTCACAGCCCCTGATAGCTCTCTCTATACAGCATGTCCACCCTATCACCCTGAGATGGGTGGCCACGGAGGGCCTCAATATAGAGGTGACTTTTGATATGAAAGAAATGAGCCAGGTGGACATCAGGTACAGGGCACTGAGATGGGCACTAACTTGGCATGTTCGGGGATAGCAAAAGGCCAGTGAAGCTGGAGTAGAGTGAATGAGGGGAAGAGAGTGACCTGGTCCACATCCATCTTCCTCCCTGCCCCACACTCACCCTCCTCTGATCCCCACCATCATCCCCCACAGGGCCTGGCACACTCACTTATGCATTAATGGAATGAGTGGCCCCTGTCCACTTATCACTGAGGAAACAGAGGCTCAGAGAGGTGGATCTCCTTGCCCAGGGATTCGAAGCCAGGTTTCCTTCTCCAGGGACCTGATCTCATCCAGGGCCTAGAGATGGTTAGATACCCCAGTTTTGTCTGGTGATTGAGGATCAGAGAGGGAAAGTACCTTGGTCAACATCACATAGCAGCGATTAATTTATTCATTAATCCCACAAACACTATTATGTGCTTGGGGCTTGAGGTTGCAGCCAGAATGAACTGGGCTCAGTCTCTGTTCTGTGGAAAGGCCAACATTAATCACATCGCCACAGAAATACAGTTATATACTGAGATAATCTGCTCGGAAGGAGAGGTGCTTGACGCTGTGGGGTGCAGAGGTGGTGTTCTGGCCTGGTGACCTCCTGGGAGACCTCTGAAGGCTTTGGAAGCCCAGATACAGCTGGAGGATGAATAGGACTTGAGTTAGAAAAGGAAGTTCCAGGCAGAGGGAACAGCCTATGCAAAAGCTCAGAGGTGGGAGGAACAGGGAGGCGGGCTGTGGCGGGATGGAAGACAAGTCAGAACGAGAGGGGGACAGGCCCTGGAGAGGTCGGCAGGGCCAGGGCACTGGGGTCTGGAGGGCCGTGGGGGAGAGGTTGGCACTGGGGAGGGTTAAGCACGGGGGTCAGGAGTCGATCTCTCTGGCTCTGGGTGGAGAAAGGCCCCATTGCAGCCCTTGGGTTTGCAAGAAGGGAAACTGAGGCCCAGACTGTGACCTGAGGTCACTCGGGGGCACACGGGAGGCGCGCCTCAGTCGCCCCAGGATGGCGGGCTCACCGGGTCTCTTCTCCCGCAGCCAAGCTCTCGCGGCTCTCGCTGGCGCTGCCTCCGCTCACGCTCACGCCGTTCCCGGGGCCGGGCCCGCGGCGGCCCCCGTGGGAGGGCGCG